GGCTTAGCACCAGCAAGATTTATAGCATGAGCTGGTACATTTTCCCCAATTACTATTTATATGTTAACCAGGACAAGTGACTTGGTCCCTATGTCTTTGCTCAAGAAGTTTCCTTCCACAGTGACTCTGGGCCAATATGGTTTGGCTCATTGAACATTATTAAGCAGTGCCTTGAAAACCATTTATATATTAGGGCTAGTCTTAGAATAATTATTGGAACTATAAAGAAGACCAATTGCCAGAGAAACTGGGTGGAGAGGAAGATGGCTGGCAAAATAACAATTAAAAAAAAATTCAGCCATTTCAACATGTCAAGTGATGTGAGGTAGGAAAGCCAGCAGTGTGAGTATTTCAGTCTTTGCAGAAACACCCAGCCAAGTCAAAGTTGGGACATAATGAGTTTTAACTAGGATGTGGTTTACTTTACACCAGAGTTCTATGTTGTATTGGATATCCTGAAAGACTACTGTGAGTGACTAAGTGGGTGATTGCTCAGGACCAGATATAGTATCTTTCCTATTACTTATTAATTTGACATTTAAGGTTCTAAAATACATTGGTTAATGTGACACAGTTGTGTGTTTCCATCAGTTCTCCAAATGAATAAACAAACAAACAAACAAACAAACAAAAAACAGCTAAGACGGCACAGACCTACCTGGTCTGTCTATGTCTGGGGACTTCATTTGCCTTTATGAACTATCCACTCAGAATAGGCTAGCTTGGAGCTAACTAAGGCATTGGTTTAGTCAGCCAAGTGCTGCTCATATACGGGAACCTCAGTTTAATCCCCAGAACCCATGTAATAACTGAGGGCTACAGTTCACACATAATCCCAATGCTGGGGAGATGGAAGCAGAAGAATCCCTCGGGCTTGCTGGCCAGCCAATCTTGTCCAAATTGGTGAACGCTAAATACAGTGAAAGATTCTATCTCAAAAGCTAAGGTGAAGAGTAGTTGAGAAAGACATTCAACTATTGGGGAATATTATTTTAAGATGTGTTACTTTGGTTTATGTTGCATTTGCTTAGCTCGGTGAAGCTGTGTTACTGTGCCTGTCTAAAACACCTGATTGGTCTAATAAAAAGCTGAACAGCCAATAGCATGGAGAAAGGATAGCCAGTGCTGGCAGGCAGAAAGAATTAATAGAAGGAGAAATCTGGGAGAAAAGAGATCTAGGAGTGAGAGAAAGCAGAGACATCAGAGACCAGCCACCCAGCTATACAACCAGCAACAGAGTAAGAAAGAAGGGTACACAGGAATAGAGAACAGCAAAAGCTCAGAAGCAAAAGACAGATGGGTTAATTTAAAGTTAGGAAAAGCTGGTAAGAAGGATAACCAAACTACAGCCCACTGCTCTAGAGAAGGTAGCTTACAAGGATTACCCTAAGAGGGACGCATGGATTGCCCTAGGAAGGGGAATTAGATGAGCTCTCCATGGGTAAACTAAAGGGGGGGCAATAAAGAGCAGGGGATGGGGGATGAGAACATAAGTGAACGGGATGGTCAAGCTGGAACAGGAACAAAGTGGGAGAGCAATGAAAGAAATACCTTGATAGAAGGAGACATCACGGGGATAGGGAGAAACCTGATACTAGGGAAGTTCCCAGAAATCCACAAAGATGACCCCCAGTTTAGACTACTAGCAGTGGTCTACCACTACCAGTAATCAGATCAGTGAATACCCTGACTATCATCATAGTGCCTTCATTCAGATGGAAGCAGATGCAGAGATCCACAGCCAGGTACTAGGCCAGACTCCAGGGGTCCAGTCGAAGAGAGGGAAGAGGGATTCTATGAGCAAGAGGTATCAAGATTATGATGGGGAAATCTACAGAGACAACCAAACTAAGCTAATGGGAATTCATGAACTTTATACCAACAGCTGTGGAACCTCCATGGAACTGGAGGCTTTCTGTATAAATGAGACGGTTGTATAGCTTGATCTGGGCCCCTCCTGGCAGTAGGATCAGGATCCATCCCTGGTGCATGAGCTGGCTTTTTTGAGCCCATTGCCTGTGGTGGGACACCTTTCACAGCCTTGGTGCAGGGGCTTGAACCTGCCTCAACTGAATGGACCAGGCTCTGCTGACTCCCCATGGGAGGCCTTACCTTTTCAAAAGAGGGAATGGAAGGTGGGTTGTGGGGGGAGGCTGGGGAGATGAGAGGAAGGAAGAGAGGGGGATCTGTGATTGGAATGTAAAATTAATTTAAAAAAAGCTGGCAAGCCAGGCAGTAGTGGCTCACGCCTTTAATCCCAGCACTTGGGAGGCAGAGGCAGGCGGATCTTTGTGAGTTCGAGGCCAGCC